ATTTCCGCAAGCGCAGAACGGATACAACACATAGGTAGAAATCCAAGTGACCTAGTGGTGTGACATCGAATCCGGATTCGAGACAACTGTGTCCTTACTCTGTTTTGACTATGTAGAAAACTAAACTCTTGTCAATAATTTTTAAGATGAGTGTGGGAGATGAAGAAGAGATATGGGAGTACACATACGGTGAAGGCCCCAATAAACCACCCACCGGAATCCTCATGAAGAAGGAGTTTATACGCCATTATTACTATAGCCAAAGCCCTCTTGAGGTCTTCTACTTCATAAATTATGTTTCAATACTGTTATTATTACTATGTGGTAGTTTTAATACATGTATGTGTGTGGTTACTGGTAGGATGTTACTCTGGCATCTAAACTGTTGCGACCTGCTCCTGTGAGGGCTTTTGAAGGTCTTGGTGAGCTGCCTCCAAACACCGAAGCCGAGAAAGTTCCTCGAGTTTACATCAAAACTGCTAAGGATAATCTCTTTGATCCTCTGCGTCAAGACCACATGGTGGAGGAATGGCCACCTTCTCAGTTGTATGTCTTGGAGGAGAGTGATCATTCTGCTTTCTTCTCTGTTCCAACTACCTTATTCGCTTATCTTCTCCGAGCTGTTTCGGTTCTTCAACATTGATCTCATTGCTAAATCAATAGTTGGAATGGTATTGATTGGAAGGTGGTTAGTATGAGATTATTATTTTTGTTTTTATATGTATTTCCTTTGAGTTTCATAAGCTTCACATGCGACTGTAAAAGAAGTTTTCTATTCATCATCATCATTTTAGGACAAGAACACCAAAACTGCAGAATAAAATTTTGATTAGTCACTAATTTGTAACTATTATTAAATGTAATGTACTTTGTGGTCGATCAATGTAACAGCCAAGTATTATAGATGACTATACATAATTGCATTGTTTCTACATTTTAGTCTAAGCTGCATGGAAACGGAAACGAAAACGTGGAAGCGAAACATTAGAAAACGCGGAAACGATTTTTCTTTTAAAAAGAGAAAACAGAAACGTTTTGGAAACGTG